TTGTTACTACTAGTAAGGCACTTGTTACTAGTAGCGATGCACTAGCAACAGGGATACCCTTTCTGGAACAAACATGATTGTTCGGAGTGCAGCCTCAAGCAACCCACGACCCTGAGTGAAACTCATTCAATTACCCTCTCATGACGCCTCGGCACGTCACAAGCCCGTGCACACGCATGGGGAGCGCTCTCTGTGCTTGGTGTCACCCCTCCAAACCCATCCAAACCCATCAGTGCTTGGTGTTTCCCCAACCTGGAACTGGGTGACACCTGTGACACTGGTGACAACACCATACCTAACCGCACGGCTCGGCTGGGAGCACCTCGAACTGCGTCGCCCATGTGGACGCGTTACGCGAGTGCGTGGCTTCTGCTGGGCAGTGCTGCCGAGGAGAGGGACAGGGGTTTTTGAAGGGATGGACATGGGTCTGAAAGACAGTGGCAGCACTTGAGGAGTGCAAATACGGCATGGTGGAAGTCTTTTTTGGGCTAGGTAGGTTCCATGGAAGCGCAGTTATATTGGGGAGGAACGCATGAAAAACACGCACTGAAAGCCTCACACACTTCCACAGAAATACTCTTGAAACTGAACCCCTGAGGAACTCCAAAACACAGCAACATGGGCAACATGGGACTCCCTTTCTCACGACCACGCCATAGCAGCCTATGGAATGTTGCACTACTATTACAAGTTGCATTAAGTTTGAAGACTCCTTTTTCTGACGCACTCCCATTTCCGAGGAGATATTTGTTTTTCGCTGACTTTCTGAACGACCTTGTGCTCTCCCCATCACCCCCACATCCTTGCGTGCAAGAGTCACTCGGTGCACTTGGGCCTTGCAAAACCATGATTTGTTCTTCTTTTGGGCTTAGCCCCCCTGAGCATTCGCTGCCAGGGTGAATCTTCGTCCAACCACTGAGGTCTACTGTGAAACTCTTAAAAGGGGGTCTCCTTCACCGCAGGACTTGAGCTGTCGCAACTTGCTCTTCGAGACCCATTGGTTCAATGCCGAGAGTAGCCAGCGCTCGCTGCGGGAGACACCGGCGCGGGCAAGCAATCTGGAACTTTGCCCGGCATACAACGGCCAGGCGAGATGGCGCGCGATTCGAAGCTGGACCAGCCCCAGACTATTTGGTTATAGCAATTAGTAGGGAATGAGGGAATGCATCCTAAGGAATCTGTACCAGCACCAGACAGAAGAGGTGTCTATATATAGATAGCCTCTTAAAGGTGAATGGGGTGTCCGAAAAACCATCTGTTGGAAGCTCCTGGTAGTACGGGGATATAGAGGATCATTCCTTCATTCCCGGCCTTCGTTGCACCAGTCAGCAGATAGCTGAGCGAGATGTCGAAAGGGGTTGCCACCCTGCGCAGATTGTCCAGACATCCGAGTGAAGCGAAAACCCTTGGGCCGATCTGGACTGGCTTCTGGGTGTTTCTGGGTGTTTCTAATGTTAAGTGTTCTCTGACACACTCACTATGGCGTCCGTTCATATTAAATATGTGGCCCAATCCAGCTGGCGCCAGCTGGTAGATGGACAGAATCTTACAATATCTTACATCATTCAGCACTGATTTTCTTTGTTTTGTGATGTTTTGTGTTCCATACCAGTACTTGGGAATGTCAAGGGAACTCTTCAACATGGGTACAGCAGCTAGCCCGTCTGCCATTTCATGTGGTGTTTCCATTCGCACCTGAATTCGCGAAGGTGACCGCGGTTGGTGAGATCTGGTCCACGTGGTTGTGAGGTGACGTGCTGTCAGAGTGGCTTGGAACATGAGCAAGCGCTGCACTTCGCCTACTGGAAGCAGATCTTCAAAGGCCGGGAGCTCAACCGGCCAATCTGGGCCGAAGCGAACGACTCGACGTTCCGACGTCCGTTCTCCTTTCCTTCCGCCGCCGGGCCTCTAGCGGCCTCTCGCGACGGTGACGGATTGACTTATGGGACCTTTCTTCTGCCAGATGCGGGATGCATCTGGACTTAGTCCACGGGTCAGAGAGATTCCAGAGCTTGGATTGAATCAAGCCAGACAGTTGGATTCGACAAGATACAATGGATTAGCCATTGAAGGACAATCTTCCAAAGTCCAGCTCTGGCAATCTTCTCGGTTGACAGATCGACCAGCTGTTTCTCGGCTTCTCGACAAGTCCTGTTGGTTCGTCACTTGGGTGTATCCCCTCTATTCATCCACCAACCAAATAGTCTATTCATCCACCAACCAGTCTATAATGGATTCTAATGGATTCTAATGGATTCTATAATAGATCCAGGTAGTTATAGAAACCTCCCAGTTCGACCCCTTTTCCTTCGGAGCATCGACCAGTCCCAGCCAGCGGCGATCGGGTGTCTGCCCTGCATGGCCTGGATCCCCCATCTCCCAAAACAGCTAAGCCAAGCCAACCGCGCCATGACCAACCGGCCCTCCACGGCTGGGTGGAGGCAAGATCGCTCGGGTGAAGCTGGCGAAGGAGGCCACCCTGGAGGTCAAGGACGATCCTGCCTTCCGGGCCGCCAGCGAGGAGGAGCGCTTATGCCACGCCACGCCGCCGCGTCGCACGCGGCGTGGGTGCCCTGCACGCCGGTGACTGGGGGGCGGAGACGGAGAGGAAGAGATGGAGATGAGTGCAGGAGGTTGGGCTCAAAGGTTCCTGGCCCGGTTTGCGTTTCTGCTGGGTTTCCTGCTTCGGCAGGACCGGAGGCAGTTTCAGGTGGCCATCCAAAAGTACGAGACTCTGGGCCAGCCACGTGGGGGGATGTGCCGCTTTTGTCTATTCATAAAGCACTAGACTAGTGACTAGAGCTAGAACAAACCGTTTTTTGACTAGTAGACTCGAGACTTATATAACACGAAGTTGAGCACGTTGAACATGATTTGCTCGAAAACATGGAAAGACCACCTCGGTGGAATGTGGGTGAAGGCATGGTCACAACGTTTGCAAAGGAATTGCTTCGCCATCGTGCCGCTTCACTGATTTTTCAGGCAAGACGCCATGCTGTGAGTGTTTGTCGCCCTTGTCAACCGATCAATAAAAGTCGATTTCTTCATCCAGGTTGCAAAAAAGAACCTCAAACACTTGAGGAGCCTACGTAGCCTGTACTGTTTCTGGAGCTGTCGGTGACCAGATTTAGGTTGCCCCTGACATCTCAATGAAATTGCAAATTAGGGCGGCCATATTCATATTATTGGTACATGTTACAAAAGGTGTCAATCCACAACCAAGTGGACAATACGAGAATTAATGCTCATCCGTTTCTGTACTGTACCTATACTTTCCGGGATCACTTTTCTGCCCGCACAGATATGTGGCAGCTGGCATATGCTGGCATCCAACACTTCCTGCTGGAAGGACATGCGTAATCTGCAACGGCTTCAGGAAGGTCCTTGATCCTGCTGCGGGACATGGCCGCTGCATGTCCTCCCTCCTGCTCTACACCGCTGGTCACTGGGTTGAAAGCTCGAATCCGCTGCACGTCCCAGCGGATTCTACCCAGTCAGTGGATCACCTTTCACATCCTTTAATGTAGTCTCTTGATTAATAAACCCACCCAGTTGAATTGGAAATCCTCTTTATACGGGGGTCTTATTAATCAAGAGTCTAAGGTCTACATTAACCATATTTTTTGGGGGAGTACTGGCCCCGCTTGGTGTGGCTCCATGCATGTGAGCCTACCCATAGTTCCACGCACGCTCGCGTGCAAAAACGCCCCACTGCTCGAGGCATGATTTGCTTTGCGTGTGATGCGCACTGGAAGCAGGAGGTCCACATTGAGAAGGAGAAACTCTTGAGGGTTCTCATTCCAGAGGCGCCGCAGGGCCATTCACGCGGCCCTGGGTGTGGTCCGATCCGGAAGATCGTCGGAGCCTCGACGAAGCCGACCTGGAAGATTAGAGTCTAGCTTCATCGACCTGAAAGCTTGGAGGGTCCAAACCCATGCGGCAAAGCAGTGTCAAAGCCCTCCAGATGTGGTCAAAACCCGATGAGTTTCAGTCAAACCTCCCTCTCCCATCCTCTCCCATCCTCTCCCTCTCCTTTCGTTCAGATGCGATGCTCTTTGTTCTTCCAACCGTGTCCACGAGATGTCCATGTCGTCTCCCCGCACCTCCGTCGACCGATGGGCACAGGGCAACTGCGTGGAGCTTTGGACCGAGTGTCAAGACTTTGGCGCCTTGGAGAGAGATCAGTCCAGGATGGGTGGGAGGAAAAGATGGGAGAGGAGGAACTGAGGATGAGAGGACGAACTTTGGGGCTCGAGTTTGGTCTTGAGGCAATTCTTTTGATGATATCGAAGGTAGTCTGTCCAGTCCAGACGCAAACAAATACCGTACAGACCTTCACTAAAACATCCTACGTGACATGGACCAGGGAATTCCGCTGTCCAGCATTGGTTAGGTTGGTACAAGCTCAGTGGCTGAAAGACACATGTTTTGAGAATGATTCAGAATGAGTAAGAATAGCCGTGTGTATGGTTGAAATAGGGAGAGCCCCCCGGTCCAATGGCTTTTTTTTTGGGGTCTCCTGATTCCAATACATACAAGTCCACGTTTTTCTCCGGAACACTGGGACCGTCTACCTACTCCGCATGGCCGTCCAGCTGCCAGTCAGGCCGTGAAGCCCGAGAGCTCTTCGAGGCCATCTTGGACTCGTCGTTGGCGATACGCTCTCGATGGCCCTTGGAGTATTTGCACATGCACCACGGCCCGAAGAAAACGGCCCGAAGAAACCGCGTGTTCCTGTGAGGAAAATGGTCACGGAGTCGAGTCTGCGGTAGTTGGTTGCGGTAGTTGGTGCGCATGTGGCTGCGAGAGCTTGGTCCTGGGACGGGGGGGTTTGGCTGGTCATCCTTACGATTGTCCTCAAGCTGGGGGAGTAGGTCCGTGCCAGTAGCCCCTTCCGGGTTGGGACCAAGGCGGCCCTAGCCTAGTGAGATAGCAGATAGCTGGAATGTTTCTTCTCGGGCCAGGCAGTGGACGACCTTAAACCTTGGGGCCCATTGGTTTCCCTTCTCAAATCCCACAGGTGGAAAGTTCGCTTCATATATGTTCAATTATTAGTCACTAGTTCATTTTAATAGGTATATTAGTCAGGAAAGGAGTCCAAATCATCCGATTTGGGTCTGCATTTTCCATGAACTTTCCATTTCAACCCCCAAAAAAGGGAAAAAGCAATGGCTGGTTCAGTGGGGTGTCCGATCTTTTCTCTTCCCCCACAGTGGACACCTGGGGGTCGGCATGGCTTGCCGAACATCTCTCGAGCCGAGCCGAACGCTCTTCGGTCAGAGGTTCGAGGATCAGCAACAGCTCTGTGATTGGACGCATGATGTGATTGCGTCCCCAGGTGGCACTGAAGAGAGTCGAAATCGTTTGGCATTGGCCCGTGATGTCATTGGAACAAGAAGCTACTAGTAGCTCCTGGCCTTACTACTATAGTAACAAGAAGTTACTAGTTACTAGTTCGATCTTGGGATTTTGGAGGCCGCCCGTGAGTTCAGAGGTAGGGGTCAGAGCCAACCCCTTAATCCCTGTGTTCCATCCCTGTAAGCTCTGTACTTCACCAATTTCTTAAGGGCAAATGGATCCTATATATGCACAACCACTGGCTCTCGACCCAGATCCCAAGCCATCCCACATCATCCCTCTCTCCATCCGGTTGATCCAAGTAAACATGCCGCTGGCATTGAACAGTTCGCCCGAACGCGCCGACTCATAGGGAGCTCCGACCATGGCCCGACCGGTCCACGTGAGGGAACGCCATCGGTACCGAGCCCAACATCGGTGCCACCGGTGCCACCGGTCCGACCGCCGCGACCGGACCGGAAGGATTGAAGCGCCGGAGCCACGTCTGAGGATGCATCCCTTCATCCGTCCCGGGGAGTTGGAGCGTGAGGCCACGCCGCCCATCAAGGCGCACCGGCGCCTGGCCAACGGCACGGGCGAGCCGATGCGGGAGTACGTGGCATGGCCGGAATTGGTGAGGTTTGGGGCGCGTTGGTTCGAGCCCAGAAAGACAATGATTGGTAGATTGTTTGTAGCACCGCCAGAATAGATGGATCTTTATTGCATGTGGTGTTAGGAAGGATGAATCCGAATGTGTGTAGAAAGTTTGGACCTACTATGGTACCCCAAATGCTCCATCGAGTTCGGGTGCTTTGAGTGGGGGAGGCATGTTGCCTCCGGGGTCCAGCCTGTGGCACGTTTTGGAGGGAAGTGCTGAACACATCTGAAGACCAGACTTGGTGCGTGAACTTGGGTGACCACATGTTACCACTAACCATGGTTTTGCTAAAAGGGTATCTCTGATAAATGTTCCCTGTCAGTAAATCCTCCTCTGGGGAATATGAATATTCTTTATTTTTTTCCTGGTTCCTTCAGCAAATCCAAGTAACTGATCAGCAAATCCGGTGGCATATTCCCCTAGCTGGTCCACAGACTGTTTAACCTGCTCCTGAAGACCACTCTTTTTTTCGTCGTGTGTCTATCAGTAAAATGAGGTGGTTCACTGACCTGTAGGGTATCAAGTACTACCATGTACTACCCAATTGTTTTGTTTTTTTGGACCTTCCTACCTGGTCGATCAACCCGTTGGTCGTGGGCTCTTTGACCCGTCCTTGGCTGAACAGGGTTGCCCTGTAAAGCTTCGTTTCAAGCAGCTGGAACGTTGGATTGGTTTCGGTTGCACCATTTGGGCAACAAACATTCAGTGACTGCTCATGACTGCTCAGTTTCTGCTGGGATTCGGCTGTCAACACACCCTCCCTAATATGATTCGCTTTTGAGTGTCCGGAGGATGGGCCACGCCAACCGGTGAATCAACGAGTCAACTCGGGTGACATGTTCGTTTTTGTTTAAGATGATACCTCCGTCAACTCGGACGATGGACGATGGGTTGTGATCGGATGCATCAGGATGTCTTCCAGGAGGGCCGGCGGTCGACCTTTGAGACCTCTTGGGACATGGGTCCAAACTACAGCGGCTCTGCAGGCTGGGCTGTTTCGAGCGCCGGGAACGTGGCCGCGACGCAGCGAGGGGGGAACCCGCCGGGGGTTCCACGTGCCGGGCGGAAACCGTCCAAAAGAAGGGCCCAGAGAGGAAAGTGATGTTCCGAAGATGGTCACTGCGGCCACTCTCCACTTCACCTCCATGTTTGCTTTGAGGTTGTTTGGAGAGAAATGATTCAATTACAGAGTTGCAGGTCATTGCCACTCCTTACCCCCCCCAACAAATGCCGCCTCTCCTAGGTTGATCCACCCCATATTCCACGTATCCTCTCATATCATTCAGACATAGCTCCACTATAGGTTGGATCCTGTCGTAGGAAACCTGTAGAGCCGTCGGTATTCAAGAACATCACTCTTTTAGTGATGTCGGCCTGCTGGTTGCAGGCCCCATCATCATTCACTGAGAATATGGTAATGGGACAGACCCAAATTATGTTCACCTCCTGTTTCAGCAGCGAAGCCGAACTTGGTTGGTTTGGACTCGAATCAGACCAAATCGGTATTCCAACTGTTCAAGAGCTATACCCTCCCTGGCTGGAATTAATTAACATGGAAGTGGAAAACCCACTGGTTGTAGAGGAACATGGCCTTCCAAGGGCCATTTTGTACTTCCATGCTAGTTCCAAACACACGGTAATTCTTGCCATTGATGACACCCGAAGTCCAACTGGACCCCGCTCCCCAACCACAACCTTGTAAATAGAAGCTGGGCATAGTTAAACATTCTCCTGCATCCCAAGATCTACATCATTCTACATCCATCCATCTCCCATCATCTTACTAGCAGCAAGGACGCTACTAGGGGCTCCTGGCATTGCTACGAACGGAGCAAGAAGCTACTAGGAGCAAAGGGCATCGCTACGAACGAACAAAATCGGACGCGAACCGAACGGGGCTCCCATCATCTTAGAACATCCAAGACTTATGGGCAGATCCCTGGCGCACCTGGCGCCCACGCTCCATGCACGTCACAGCGATGCTCCAGGCCTTGCACCTGGCTGCGTCCATGCGGTGGTCCTCGTTTGGCTGTTTCGCTTGCGCCTGTGTGGCTGCGCTTGGAGCTGGAGAATCTGAGGGTGACGACTTGGTGACAGATCGCTCGGGCGAAGACTTCAGATGTCCCGGACTTCGAACGAATTGGAACAGGTTCGTCCAGGGTCCTGAAGAACATCATCTCGAATCGGATTGAACATCTCCATGTCTTTTGGTCTAAAAATGGTTGAACAGACAGTGTTTTTGGTGTTTTTGGCGCTAATGGGTGTAGGCCCTCCGATTCTGAGACTCAGCCTCAACAAACACAACAGATGCACTTTTGCACTTCTTGCTGTGCCAGTAGCCTGTACATGCACCTTATAAAAATGGAAACTATAATGACACAATCACTTTGAACATGTAGATGGAGGCATTACCAATCAACAGCTATGAAGGAGGTGCTTTCTGAAGCCTCAGCTGAGCCGCCTCAACTTGAGGTCCCGCCTGTGCCGAAGGGTCCGAATCTTTGATCAGCTACACTTTTCATGATAGTCTCATCATCAAGAACCGACATGTATATGATTCATATGATGAGGGTTTTTAGAATCCATCTTCTCGGGGGGGCTGCATTCGGACCTCCTACATCCTACATCGTTGGACCCTTTGGCCAGCCGGGGCGTCGAAGAAGCCGCTGGTCAGAGCACCAGAGATGTGCCGAGTCAAAAGGGAGAGGCGATGAGCTGGGCGATGAAGGTATGTTCTCTTTATAGTCCCCCGGGATTCGAAAGAAAGGTAAAGAAACGTAAAGAATCTATATAATGATTGACAAATATTTGTAATGCTTAATATGTTCATGCTTTTTCATGTCTGTGTTGTTTTCCTTTAATCAACGGTCTGCATTGAGGTGACTTGGTTCACGGAGATGTTGCTGGAGAATCTGTAGTTCGTTCAGAGTTCCACTCAGACCCCGGAAACGGGCTAAAGGAGCAGAATGCATATATATATATGGCGATATGGGGTGTTGCAGGCTTATCGACTTCCATCAACGTCCTAAGACCCACTGAGTGGAACTTTTCTAGTTCCGGTCAAACCATCTTTTCTCTGCGAACATCGGTGAACAGGATGTTGGGGTGAATGAAGACCTTGGTTTGACCCCCTTTTGAGCGGCTCGGGTGTCGAGCCGGAACCAGCGCGTGCCGGTCGTGCGACCGTAGAGGATACCGTCGAGTCACGGAGGAGGAATACAGCTAGTAGCGATGCACTTGTTTCTAATAGCTTCTTGTTACTACTAGCGTGGCACCAGTTACTACTAGCATTTTCTGGATTCTTTTGCGTGAAGCATCCTCTACTGCGAACAGGTTGGGTCCTCCATTGTCATGAGAACATGCAACAGAAGGAGGCTACACTTCTCTACACCTTCCACCCTATGATCACCTCTTCCAACCCCGTTTCGGATGTGGATGGTGCTTGGGTCCGCATCCACACCGTAAGCGCACCGCGGAGGCGCGAGCGCACGGCGCGCGGATCCGGCCTCGCCCAGGTCCCGATGACCGGCCCCTGGCCCAGTGCTGCCGGCGGATGGGATCCCATTCGGTCCAAACGCATGGGCCGGAGCTTTTCCGGGCCGAAGAACGTCTTTCTCACCACGAGATGGAAGCGTTTGATCCCTCCCACCATGCGAAGGTGATTTTAAGGGGGACAACCGATGTGAATGCAAAAGAAAACGAAGAACATTGTTTTGCTTAATCACGACCAAAAAAGAGATGTAAAGGATCACATCATCTTGGGACATCTCCCTCTGTAAGATGTCCCGACCTCGTCCACTCAAGTCGAACAGTGGCGACCTCTCTTTGACGACCAATTTCAGCGACGAGCAGGGAACGTTTCCATTTGTTCCCTGAAAAATGAAAAGGTCGGGCAGTAGTCTTGCTACTAGTAGTAAGGCACCTTGCTACTTGTAGCTTCTTGTTCCTTCAATAGTAACTAGTGCCTTTTTTCTTTTGGAGCCTGGAAATGAAGAGATCTTCAAAGGACACCACAAACTTGTGTGTTTGGCGCTGCTGAAAGACATGTTGCGAAGACCCATAGTAACGCGTGAGTGGGATGCTTGGTGAAGCCGCCTCCGGTGAAGCCAGACTACAAGATTGAATCACTAGACACAACACATTGATCACAATCAAGCGCAGATGGTCCACGGAGGGCTTTCCGGTTTTTCATCTTCTATTCAGTGAAGTTCCAAGCACTTGCAGCCCTGTGGTAAGCCCAGCTCTCTTTCCGTGTCCCAGGCATGTATGAAGAGTTGGAGTAACCCAGCCAGTGATGATCAGTGATGATTGATGGTCCTATCCGAATGAGGTCTGATGCCGAATGAGCTGCAGGCCAGCAGCTCATGTGCTGGGGTGATTCGAAGGTATGGGCGGTGCAGGCGGACGTTGTGCATTCTGATATTGCCCAGTATGACAGTATGTGCCAGCGGTTCAGGAAAAGCCCATAAAGTAAATACCAGCGGGTCTATGTTGGAGTGCCGAACGAACGGAAATCGGGGTGCCCATGATCCACTCATAGGGTCCTCTTGCTCCATTCGTAGCGATCCCCTTTGTTCCTAGTAGCTTCTTGCTCCTAGGATGCCAGGAGCCCCGATCGTAGCGTCCTTTGCTCCTAGTAGTGAATGTGTTTTCTGGAGCGGTCCTCTTGGACCTGCGACATCATCCGCTCAAACAACGCGTCTCACACCGCTCCGCTCGCTTCCTCGCACCAAACAACGTGCACCTCCTTTTCGGGTTCGGCGAACACCTCCACCATCGGGGTTGAGCCATCGACTCAAATGGAAAACCACCTGTTGGTAGATGGTTTCCAACAGGTCTTCGAAGGGGCCATGCCATGCACCTTCGTGTTCGTCAGAGTGTGCACATCTCGACATGAGGTTAGGGTTTAAATACAGCGGCACTTGGGAGCCAGCTGCTCTCCCGGGGCTCGACCGCGTTTACGCGCCAGGCAAAATAGGACAGGTAGACAGTGAGCTTATAAGGCTACACCATGGAACCATCGAGCAAGTCATATGCCCAAACCAGTTACCAGCACCACCCCAAAAGGTGGTGCGACCTCCCTGACCATTGGTTTGCCATCCCAAAACATCCTTTGGGTGGTGCTGGCAATGAACAATTCCCTCCGTAAATTATCAAATACATCAAAATCGTCTTTTCGGCTGGCCCATCAGCTTACCTCAATCAACCCGTTTACCGTATACCTGACTTGGAGTAGAAGAAACGAGGAAGCTCGGGTCGTAAGTAGTTATTGTTAGATGACTCTCCACAAGGAGCTTGACAAAGGTGTGTTCTCTACATCGCATGACTCGTGACCCTAACTTAGCACCAGCCAACACAACGTCGGGACCGTAGGGTGTATAAACCACCTAAGCTGGCAGGTGCACCTGATCATTTTACTTGCTCCCCTCCCTCATGAGCTGGGCCCAGAATGGAACCTCCGAGGCCCTGCCCATGTCCGCGGCGGGATTGACGCAGATGCCGATGTGCTCATGGCAGCAGTTAGAGAGTTGGCCTGATGCGACATGTGTCGAGCAACTGGAAGAAGGTGTCGGAAAAGAGCACCAGAACTTTGGGGTTTCACATGGTAGTAACAAGAAGCTACTAGGAACAAGTGCATCGCTACTAGTAACAAGTGCCTTACTAGTATATAGTAACAAGAAGCTATTAGGAACAAGTAAGCGGTTTCAATCCGTTTTCGCCGTTTCGATGCGGTTGCCTGTCCCATCATTTGCAGGACTCTGGGGGTCTTGCAGGGAGTAGCAACTTGATCGCGGTCCTGGAACGGAATACCAATCACTGCTTGTATGGGCCTGGGCCTGTCTTCAGACGCCATGCACTTATGAAAGATTCCACAAGACGGATGAGTAGAATGGCATACGATCCTCACCCCTCCGAAACGTCACGATCGTTGTGGTGAACTTCTTCGGTGCAGGTGGCCCTGGCCTTTCGGATCCACTCGCTACGGTTCAAGTGTGCAGGATTTTCCCGCGGTGTCCGGCCGGTTTCAGGTGGTTTCTGCCCTTCCTGACTTAATTAGGGTCATAGAATATCATATAATATGTGTTAGGTGCTGGTACAGGATGACTTCTCCATCAGTTGGGTGACCCCTTTGTGCCGGAGGTCTCTAGCTGGTCACATGGATGAGTCGGTCCTTTCAGCCTTTCTCCCGTCCTGCACCTCTACCAATTACCGGTCCTTTCCACCCCACCAAGGCGAATATATGATCCCCACTATGATCCCCTTTGGATCAGGGTGGGGTGTTCTTCCATGTGTTCCATCGCTCGCGCTCCTGGACGCGATGGAGGGGGAGAACCAAAGACCGTCCCCAGGGGCTGCCAGAATGGCGTGATGATGCAGCAGGTGGGGCGGGGAGAAGGGCTGAGAGGCGCAACGGCTCGGCTCGGCTTGGGGCTCTGGAGAGAGTGAACCTTTCTTTTGAGAACAAAAGCACAAGTAAAGCACCAGTAAACCAACATGGAACCTGAGAATTGACCGGTGGAAGACTATTTTCCTCTACAACCCAGTGGTTTTGAGGTTCCATGTTAATCTGCGGGGGAGTAAAGCACAAGTAAACAAGCAAGCAAGCAAGCGATCAACACGGAGACGGAGACATGCGTTCTTCTTGGTCAGACAGAAAGAGATGTGGGTGCTATGATCTCAGATGGTTACGTGATTTTCATGACCCATCGGGCCAATGGAGTTGGTTGAAGTGAGCCACCAGTTCAAATGACAACTGACAATGCACAACATCTGTGTAGCATGAGATCGAAATTCCTCAGCTGGCCACCAAAAAAGATGCCAATCTGCTGACCTAGATGAAATGACAAACAGCACGAAAAAAACACTGACAATTTACAGGGAATTGGAGGAGTTCCAGGTGGGTCTTCAGCAACGCACAGCTGGTGAGGCCTTTGCACAGCTGCTTTGAGTCTTACATCCGATATCGGTCGGGGGGTCTCGACGGACAATGGAGGGTCATCTCAAAACTCCAGAACTCGCCACGTGAAAACAGGGAAACTTCCGCAACAGGAACTGCTCGTGTTTTTCAACTGATCG